ATGTTGGAAAAGGTTGTTTAAAATAGGAAGTGCATTTTGATGCTAAATAGTTTACACCTGATATAAAACATTTTGCTACAAAACACCTGCTACTAAGGAGGCTGTCGAGGTCCTGAACCGGTGCTTGGCCGCTGTGACGGTCTGGATGGGGGCGAACAAATTGAAATTGAATCCAGACAAGACAGAGGTACTCCTGGTCAGTCGTAGGGCCGAACAGGGTACAGGGTTACAGCCTGTGTTAGACGGGGTCGCACTCCCCCTGAAGACACAGGTTCGCAGTTTGGGTGTGATCCTGGATTCAGCGCTGAGCCTGGACCCCCAGGTTTCGGCGGTGACCAGGGGAGCATTCGCACAGTTAAGACTCGTGCGCCAACTGCGACCGTACCTTGGGAAGTCTGACTTGGCCACGGTAGTCCACGCTCTGGTTACATCCTGCCTTGACTACTGCAACGCTCTCTACGTGGGGTTGCCTTTGAAGACGGCTCGGAAGCTCCAACTAGTCCAACGGGCGGCAGCCATGGTACTAACAGGAGCAGGGCGCAGGGAGCATACAACTCCTCTGCTGTACCAGCTCCACTGGCTGCCGATTAGCTACCGGCGGCTCAATTCAAAGTGCTGGCGTTGGCCTTTAAAGCCCTAAACGGTTCTGGCCCAACATATCTATCCGAACGTATCTCAGCCTATCAGCCCACCAGGACCCTAAGATCTTCTGGAGAGTCCCTGCTCTCTATCCCTCCGGCTTCAGAAGTGCGGCTGGCGGGAACGAGAGACAGGGCCTTCTCTGTGGTGGCCCCTCGGCTTTGGAATGCCCTCCCTATAGAGATAAGATCAGCTCCCTCGCTGTTGGTATTTCGAAAAAAACTTAAGACATGGATGTTTGAACAAGCATTCGGGTAATCCGGTGCGATGAAGTTGATGACCAAGGACTGGTAATTATTGACGATGAATTCGGATTATGATTTTAATTAAGAGATGCATTGGTCTGTATTGGTGGCCCGATACTGTGTACTGTATATGTTTTTTATGCTTTTAAATTGATTATTGTTGTTTTTAAGTACTGTTAACCGCAATGAGTCGCCGTTGTAGGCTGAGATATTGCGGTATATAAGCATACAAATAAATAAATAAATAAATAAATAAATAAATAAATTGGGACTGTTTACAAACCTATGTCATTTTCCAGGTAAAGTAGCAGGGGACATATTCAAGGACAACGCTATCCTTGCCAACCCCGTGGCGGGGCTCGTGGTGGGAATCCTTGCCACTGTCCTGGTCCAGAGTTCCAGCACCTCCAGCTCCATTGTCGTCAGCATGGTTGCCTCTGGGCGTGAGTACTGGCTAGACAGGGAGAGGAATCCAAGAAGAGGGATGGGGTAGAATAGCATGGAGATTGGTCAGATGGGACGAAGCAGAAATGAGGGGATCTTTCAGACAGAATAAATGTTGATTGTGTAGGTTTGAGCATCCCTTACCTAGAATTCTAGAATACTCCAAAATCTGAAATTATCCACATAGGGGCTAAGATGGTGACACCTTTTTTTATAGTTCAAAGTACACTAACTTTTTTCTCCTGCACAAAGTTATTAAAACAAAATGGCTCAGGAGTGAAATAAGGACTAAAGGAGGAACTCATCTAGATGAAAGGGTCGAATTTTGAGCAACTCTGTGAGACAATCTGCAAGCTCTGAAGGTTAACAGAACTTTGTCACTAAATTCATGTGTCCGGAAAGGCAACTGGGTCAGACAATGGCATTCCTCCTGGCAATTGGCCAAACCTCACCTAGGAAAGTTAAAGGGACAACGGAGAGTGCTGAGCAAATATTTCTAATCCACTGAGGGATGCATGGAAGACACCAGAAAGGACTGTCTTCTCATCAGAAGTACCCAGGAATGTCCTGGGTTTGGAAGCCTTCTAAGAAGCAGAAATTCTGTCTTGCACTTCACTCATTTCCCCAGCACTTAGTAGTGACTCTTAGGCTCATATATCCACTGATGGGATATTGCCTAGGAAGAGAAAGGAGACTGTTAGGTCTTTCAGGTTAGGAAAAAATGGACTGAGGCTCCATATAGATTCCGCATTGTAATCCTTAACCAAATTAACGAACCCACCTTAACAAATCCACCGCCAAGACACTGGACTTGGAGGATCATCATCTTCGGGCTATGAGGGATAGCCTAAGTAAGTAAGAATTCCTCTTCTGCACAGAAAGCTCTGTGCTTTAACACACCATAATCTCTTTATCCACTGGCACTCTGAAGTCCACAGAGACTCCAGGACATAGCTCCAGCCTCCACTGAGATCCAAGATTTGCTTGCCTTCTTCTTGTGGATTCTAGCCAGAGGAATTTGAAAATAAAATGTGTTTTGAGATCCACACCCAGGAATCAAACTTGAGGCTTTGGTTTACACAGTCACATTTTCGTCTAGATAAGAATAGTTGAACGAATGCTGCTGCCATGTTGAATCAATGTAGAATTAAATCTTTTTTTTGTTTTCATCTTTTATCTTTTATGTAAGTACAATAAACTGCCTGTTAATGAGGGGAAAACACACACACACAAACATAATATGTATAGAATTACTTTTGGGCTATTTATATAAGGTGTACATGAAACAAATGCGTTTCAAGTTTAGACTTGGGTACCACCTCCAAGATATATATATATATAGAAATGCAGGTATTCCAAAACTTGGGGGGAAAATCCAAATCCAAAATATTTCTGTTCCCATGCATTTCTGATAAGAGTCATGTAAGCTGTATTTTATTTGAATAAGCAGAGAATATCCAATGTTAATTCCTAGCATATTCTCTCCCAGAATACCTCCCCCCCTCCCCCGGTCTGTGATATACTGGAAACAAACAAACAAACAAAGTCCTCATTGAATATCCATTTTCTACATAGATATTGGCTTCAATGTTCACTGGGGGTGAAGAACCTGGCCTTCCAGATGTTTTGGCTATCTAGCTAAAATAAGTAATTGTGGAAATCGTAGTAGTCCAAAACATCAAGAGAGAAACCATTGCCCTATCTTGCAGTACAAATACAATTGTTGCTTTGGACTGAAATACCAGCCCTATCATATCCTCAGGTAGCACATGAAGCTGCAATGCACTCTGAAACACAGCATGAAGTCAGGAAGGCAAAAGGACAACAAACAATAACTTTGGCCAAAGGATCCACCAGGACACTGTTTTCAGTCCTAACTTAAGTACTGATTAAGATGGATGAAGTTTATTTCAAGCATCAGTATTTCATAGATATTCAGAGTTATGCAGACAATCACAGAATAGAGTTGGAAGAGACCACACATGGGCCATCTAGTCCAACCCCCTGTTATGCAGGAAAAGCACAACCAGTGACAAAGTGAACATGAACAAAACTATTTTTCTATATCTAATGCATACATGACGATCCTTATCTGAGGTCTGTGTGACCAATGCAGTATGCAGCAAGAGATTATTTAAGAAGGTTTGGTATGGTATGCCCTAATTTCTGGTTATCAGCCCCTTAGCACATGATATTTCAGTTGCAACAGTTGTAGCATAGCACAAATGACAGAGCTCAGCAAACAGTACAGGCCATAGGGAAACATCCATTATTGTCAAAATAGAGTTGATCAGACTCATTAAAACAGATTAGCCTACAGTTTGCATACTCTTTTGATATAACACTTAAGATATAATAATAATAATAATAATAATAATAATAATAATAATAAGAAGAAGAAGAAGAAGAAGAAGAAGAAGAAGAAGAAGAAGAAACACAACAAGATGAGTCCACAGCAGACAAGTTCACTCTGCTGGCTGTTGTATTGGATCACATGTCGGACACTTCCCAAATGTCTAGGACAGTGTGATGTATCAGTGAATAATGTGTGCAGATCCCAGTAAGGTGGCCTTCTGCAGCTGGCCGATTGTAATGTTGTCAATGCCGATGGTGTTTAAGTGCAGGCCAAGGTCTTTAGGCACTGCACCCAGTGTGCCGATCATCACTAGGACCACTTTGACTGGCTTGTGCCAGAGTCTTTGCAGTTCGATCTTTAAATCCTCATATCGTGTCAGCTTTTCCAGATGTTTCTCTTCAATCCTGCTGTCACTTGGGATTGCAACATCGACAATCACACTTTGTTTTTGCTTTTGTTTTTTTGCACGATCGTGAGGTCAGGAGTATTGTGCTCAAGAACTCTGTCTGTCTGAATTCCTTCCCAGAGGAGTTTGACGTGTTCATTTTCTGTAACTTTCTCCGGCTTGTGATCCCCCATGGGTGGGACCCAAAGCGGCAAACAAATAGTTAAAAATAGAAATTACACAATACAAGAGCACAACATCATCCTCCAACCAAAACAAATAAGCAAATAAACAAAAACACATTGCATAAACACATTGCATAAACCATATAAAACAAGCATAATAAATAACAAGATTTAATATTAAAAATCCCTGTGCTTCAGGACTCCGAGATTGTTCTTAAAACATTATGTTAAGAATCCTCAAAGCTCCGCATCTTTGGCCGTGTGAACCTTGCCAGAGCAAGATATCCTTCAGTGATGTTTCTTGGCAATAATCACTAGCTACCTTGTCATTGCTTATTATGTGTTGTCGGGAAAGGCCTGCTTCCACAGAAAGGTTTCAACCTAGGAGCAAAAGGCTAGTAACAAGGGGACAGAACACATCTCTTTGGGGAGGGAGTTCCAGTGCTACAGGGCACCATCGAGAAGGCCCTCTCTCTTGTACCCACCAACCGTGCTTGTGATGGTGGTGGGTCCAAGAGAAGGGCCTCTCTTGATGATCTCAGGGCTTGTGTGGGCTGGTAGGAGGAGATGCGGTCCCTTAAGTAGGTTGGGACATATATTATAAGCATAAATATATTTATAAATCTATAGTAGGTAGGTAGTACATATATTTGGCAAGATGTGTATACTTTGTTATATTAATGAAAGATCTTTGAATATAACCAAAGAATTTTGGGTGGGGTACCTGGTGAGTACAAAGTGGTTGTTAGGCACAAGATGGGAGAGAGAAAACACTCCCCCCCCCCCCAAAAAAAAAAAACCCAGTTTGTGTGAACTTTCATTGTGTTTCTGGTGCTCCAGATTGCACTGTATCCACACATGCATTCATGGGTGTGTTTTCTCTGATCAAAATGTTTCATGAAACCACACCTGGTGGCAATATCTGAACATTCAACATTATCCTATTGCCCTTTATTTTTTAGTGCTGGATGTAGCTTCTGCCATCCCCATCATCATGGGTTCCAACATCGGTACCTCAGTCACCAACACCATTGTGGCACTGATGCAAGCCAGTGACAGAAATGATTTTAAGAGGTGAGCATTATAGCAGTAAGTGGGGGTTGAAAACTGGAAATAGTGGGGTAGGTGTGATGGCAGCCTACATCCATGCACTAGATTAGAGAGAAAAGTTGTGCAGTTATGCAATCAGGATGGTGGACAGAAACTAAAAGTCAGAGGGTGGAAGGCACTTGGCAAACTCTGGGACGTTGCAAGTAGCCCCACATCCCTAACTACTTCTCAATTGTCAATGCTTTGTGTCATGAATTTTGGTGGTAGTGGTTCCTGGATCCTATAGGAACTGAGGAAACAGGTCCATCTCAAATGGAGAGTAATTTATCCCTTGAGCAAGGCAATGCAAATGGACAAAAGTGAGGTGAGATAGAAATTTGCTAAGTGCAGAAGGAAATTATATGTAGTGACTGGTAAGATGGCTGATAATTTGGAGATTGCCCAGCTGAAGCCTGGCTGTCACTCTTCCCATGCCACAACTCCTATACCTCATGGCTTCTCTACTGCCTGGCAGAGCCTTTGCAGGGGCCACCGTTCATGACTGCTTCAACTGGTTGTCAGTGCTGGTTTTGCTGCCGCTTGAGGTGACCACCGGCTATTTGTACCAAACTACCAAGGTTGCTGTGGCGGCCCTCAAGTTCTGCGTTGGACAGGATGCTCCAGAGCTCCTAAAAGTAATCACAGAGCCTTTCACTAGCCTTATTATTCAGGTATGTGCTACAGAATGAACAAGTGTGACCACTTAGTTCTTGTTATGGGTGGAAAATTTAGGCAGTCTCTTCCTGTGGTTGACATCCTGGTGAATGGCCCCTTGTTCCATTTCATAATCACAGCTACTCCTCTGTCTGCCGAGGACTAAAATTAAAATTTCTCCTATTGTCCTCAGCTTGCTTCAGGGATGTATGCCAAGCTGACAACCTAGAAAATATAGCAGAGAGCACAGACAACATGGAGGCCAGGTTGTGAGCCAAACATAGTCTAGGTGACATTTTTAGATGTATGAACTGAACTACCTTTCAGAATATTACAATATGTTACAAATGCTCACAACACTGACATATTGGGAATCCTTAATGCAATGGGAGATTGTGATGGGGGCAAGTGTTGCTAAATCAGATATCTTAGAGTCTGACCCAACCCATAGTTTTAGGGTAATACGTAGTATCTCTGGCCTAGGCTTTATTTAGAGAAGATGAGTTCCCTGACACTCTAGGCCAGGGGGTTGTATTTTCAATCTCTGACAGGGTTTACATGACCCCCACCTTCGCTTGTTTCCTACAGCTGGATAGGTCAGTGATCACAGGCATCGCCACAGGGAACGAGAGCTTGCACAACCAGAGTCTGATCCAGGTGTGGTGCGAAACACCATCCAGGCAGGTGAGAGATCTGCCAGGAGAGACAGCGGGGAGCGGGGAGCGGGGAGAGATGCTGAGTGAACTATGCTCTTGGGCTGTGTTAAGCTCCACTGTCATTTTTACCACCTTGTTTTGCAATTTCCTCAGCTCCACCTCTTGTGTAGAAACAGTTTCCCACTTCCTGTGATGTTCTGCCAATCTTAGCAATTTTTTCTAATAGCCATCAGGTAGATATTTGAAATCAGGTCCTGAGATGTTCTCCAAGACTCTTAGTCCTACTCCTCAAAAGACATTTTTGATAGATTCTAATTCCCTCTCATTAACCTACTTATGTGTAGATAAGGAGAAAAGATGGAAACAGCATGAACATAATAATAATAATAATGATAATAATAATAATAATACATAAGCTGAAAGGGTAACAAATGGAAAATGAAATCATGTGCAAAATCTGAAAAGGCTTGCGAACTACAATTCCCTTTGTTCCTAGTCCCTATATAGTCAAGAAGGGTAATGGCATTTGCCTATATTTGTGACCTCTCCCAGAATAACTGAACTGCAATAGAAACAATATCTGATTCAAAATGTGTGCCTGTGACTCTACCATCATCACGTTTCTTCTCTTGTATGATTTTAAACATCTTTTCCCTGATAAAGAAGCCCAAGGAGCTTTGAAAACTTGTGTGATGTATTTTGTGCATTTTGGTTGGTCAATAAAGGTATCACTCTTTTGTGGGTTTTGTTTTAAACTTCTTTCTAGTGGCTTAAAAGGCTTTTTCACTTCATGCCTTCCTTCTTCTCTATAGGTTTTTTCCAATGACAATAGAGGAGGACTCCTAAATTGCAGCTCACTTATTCCATGCCACTTGGGAAGTTCTGGCAATCTCAGCAGTGCCATGAAACAGAAATGTAAGACTTACCTTTAGGCAGAACAGGTTTGTGAGGAGTGCCAGCTGGAAATGGGCCCCATATAAGAAATTCAGAAGTTAAGGTGGATAAGGGGAATGTAGTAAGTCCCAACATGTTCTCAGCTTTGGTTTGCTCTGCCTCTATTCTTTCAACCAGGCAACCACCTCTTTGTGGACTCCTCTCTGCCGGACTTGGCTGTTGGGCTCCTGCTGCTGGCTGGGTCCCTGATCATGTTGTGTACCTGTCTCATCATGTTGGTTAAGCTACTCAACTCTGTGCTCAAAGGCCAGGTAGCCAGAGCTATCCAGAAGGTCATTAACACAGGTAAGACTCCAAGTCTGCACCTCGTCCATCTGTCCCCTGTCTCCCCATTGCTCTACAAGGGGGCTGTGGTTTCTCTCCTGGGCCTCTCTTATGGCAGAATCCATGTGTGGAAATCAGTCTTACCTCCTTGAGCAGATCTGCCATCCCCATTTGGCTGGGTCACTGGATACTTCGCCATGCTTGTTGGTGCTGGAATGACCTTTGTGGTACAGAGCAGTTCCGTCTTCACATCGGCAATCACACCACTCATCGGTGAGTATGCCATTACTTCCCTTTCTTAAAGAAAGAGATAGCCAAAGACAAAGACAAGTAGAAGCAGTGCTTGGAATGAAGTAACAAATATGTAATTGCAGTTACTTGTAAAGAGTTAGATATTCTCTCCACTCTCCAACAAGGGCATAATGAAGCCCAAATGTTAAAAGCAGATGCTAAGAGTGGTAACAAGGCTGCTTTGTAAAATAGCAAAGGTGTTATTAAAATTAAAACAGATACAGATAGAAGTTCACATCACTAATTCAATAGTCCTGCTCTTATTACAGGGGTTAGGGATGAAAGATAATTCTATGGTCAACTTCTGCAAGGCACTGGCCATAGAATCACGCAAATGAGTCTGGAGATTCCTAGAGGAGGGTTCCTCTAGGAATCTCCTGGTCCTACATATCAACTCTATGATTTCCACTGGAGGATCTAGAGATTCATAGAGAGAATATTTTTAAAAATCTGTGAATAATTAAATCCACAAAAGTTAAATTTGCAAAGGTAAGGGTTGAGTAGGGCCCCCTGGTGGCACAGTGGGTTAAACCACTGAGTTGCTGAATTTGCTGGCTGAAAGGTAGGCAGTTCGAATCCGGGGAGCAGGGTGAATTACAACTGTTAGCCCAGCTTCTGCCAATCTAGCAGTTTGAAAACATGCAAACATGAGTACATCAATATAGGTACTGCTTCTGTGGGAAGGTAACAGCACTTCATGCGGCCATGCTGGCCACATGACCTATGAGGTGTCTATGGATAGCGCCAGCTCTTTGGCTTAGAAATGGAGATGAGCACCCCCCCCCCAAGAGTCAGACTCAACTAGACTTAATGTCAAGGTGAAACCTTTACCTTTAGGGGTTGAGTACATAAAAATATATGTAAGTTATCAATAAAGTAAATTGAAAACATCCATTGGGGAAGCAACAGAAAATATAGCACATTCTTTCCTCTTAAGCAGTCAATACTCAATGTTGCCAGAATGATACAATGGAAAGAAGAGACTTCCAGAGTCTATAACAAATATCAGAGACAATTTACTTTTAAAGGATCTTTCCAAGTTCTAGATGCAAGTGCACGTGTGGTATGTTTGCCTGTGCAACAGGAAACTAAAAAGTCATACTCTTTATTCATTACATGAAGAGAAACCTTGACATCTAGTACTTTCCGTTCTACCTCCCTAATTCAGGGTGATATGAAGGGGAAGGGGGTCTTGAGATTCTTGCTTGCCTGGCAGTTGAGGGGAAGCATAGCCCTTCCTAAGAGCTCTGTGATACAGGATGTCATGAGTAAAAGTGCTCCATAGCTCAAGAGGCTCTGATTGGGTGTGAAGCTTGGAAAACTCACTTGTTTGAACAGTAACCCATAGCATCTCCAGAGAGCATAGCTACAGTGTGATCCAGAGCTTTAAGGAAGAACGTTCCCCTGCCTGGTGACTGTGGTGTGTATGTGTGTGCTGTGGAGAAGCAATATGCTGCTTTCCTGACTGCTATCTCTCATTCTCTGTGGGATAGGCCTTGGTGTCATTAGCCTGGAACGTGCCTATCCACTCACTCTGGGTTCAAACATGGGAACAACAACCACTGCTATCCTAGCCGCTTTAGCCAGTCCAGGAGACAAATTGGCCAGCGCTTTTCAGGTGAGCAAATAAATGGCTTCTAGCCTACCTTTTGAGACTAACCCTTCCAAGATTGAAGCAAATGCACATAATGAATGCCACCAAACAATGAGTTAAGCAAATTACATTATGTAACAAAATTTGAAAAAAAATAAAAGTGTTATTCTTGTTTAATTCTGCGGTGCTTACTTTAAAAGTTATACTCCCAAAACTTCATTTTTGTGGTTGCCACAAATTATGTGGAATTAGTTGAGACTCGATGAGATATCAATTGAAAAACTATAGCAAATGTTTTTATAATAGTACCAATTAGGAAATTACATGTATAACCCAGGAATCAAAATCCTGTTACATACTGTGATGGATCACAGTAAAGAAGTTTCAAAAAGAAAAAGGGGGAAAGGGTATATGACACCCTTTGATACGCCTTACTCCAAGTGTGGCTTAGGAAGCATTCCAGATCCTTTAGATTTCAACATTGATGGTCCTTCACCAATATCTTTACTGGTTGATGCTGATGGGAGCTGCAGTCCAACAATATCTGGAGGGAGGAATGGAGATGTTATTTAGCCCTGTCCCTATGGCTCTCAGCCTGGTGAGATATTCCTTCCCCTTATGAGATGGTAGCTATTCTTTGGTTTCCTCCTTAGATTGCTCTCTGCCATTTTTTCTTCAACCTCTCTGGGATCTTGCTGTGGTATCCTCTGCCCTGCACCCGCCTCCCCATCCAAATGGCCAGAGGACTCGGAGAACAGTCAGCCAAATACCGCTGGTTCGCAATCTTCTACTTGATCATCTGTTTCCTGTTGCTGCCATCGCTGGTGTTTGGACTCTCCCTGGCTGGATGGCGTGTCCTGGTGGGCGTGGGAGCCCCCTTCTTGAGCCTTCTGGCTTGTGTGGCCTTTGTCAACTTCATGCAGTCACGAAACCCTAGCCGACTGCCTCAGTGGCTTCAGAGCTGGGACTTCCTACCCTTCTGGCTGCGCTCCTTGCAACCCATAGATGGGCTGGTCACCAGGACCATGCAGTGCTGCACTGTTTGTTGTTCACACAGCCGAGAGAAACACAGTGCTACATCTCCCCAGGCAAAAGTCAAATTGGGCCTGTGTAATCCTTCACTCAGCTTCCTGGAGGAATTATCTCTCCCACCAAAATCCTCATCCTTTGTGAATTCACAGCCAGCACCAAAAGCTACCTACCTGTAAACTGGACAGGAATACATTTCTCATTGTTGCCTACAAAAGGAGGAAAGAATGATAGAGCCTGGTTTCTGAAGGCAAGATATTACATCTGCATTGTGTATGAGATGCCCTATGTGGGGTGAGTCTGAGTGTTTGGTGTTGCTTGTATCACTGCCACATGTGCCTCTATGTGCTGGCCACTTCGTGTTCACCTGCTGTTCTGTGTGATTTTGCGTGGGATGCCTAGTTGAGCCTGCAACTGAAAACAATTCTCGCTGTGTCTATGGTGTGCATCAATGAACAAGTGTAAAATCATATCTCAAAGTAAGCCATGTTTGTGTGCAGTGTACTGGATACTTGCCTTGAGCAGGCGATGACATCTGAGTTATATCTGAGCTCCCATGGAGGCAGCAGGGAAGTTACTCCTACAAAAGTACTGGTGATTCTCCAGTGTGGCATTTTACAAGTTGCGTAACAGTTTTGAGACATTAAACATAATTAAATAGTGTTGCTTGAAGGGAATTTCCCATTGCTCTGGTATGACAAAAGGACAGAGCTGGAATTCCTATGGTGCTCTAGAAATTCCGATACTGCTTGGTGCTGATTGGAAGTCTACAGATTTCCGCCTCTGCAATATGGTGTTGATAGCCTCCTGCCTCAAAGGGTCAGAATTCTTTAAGGGGCAGAACAGGCATGGGCAAACTTTGGCCCTCCAAAGTTTGCCCATGCCTGGGGCAGAATGTCACAGCAGCCAGGACCATAATCCTTTATCTATTACTCAGTAGTCTAGGAACTTCTTCACAGCAAATATATTTGCTAAACAACTTAATTTGTTATAATTAAGTAATTGTTTGCTGTCACTATGCTCACACTGCTTTTATTTCTACAGGATAGATGTAAGGGCTATTTTCAAACTGAAGCAGTCAGCAAAATAGGAGCAAGATCTGAGAAATGGCTAAGTGGCGTTTGTTTATTTCTATGTATCTTTTGTTAGGAGATTTTTTTCATTCATATTAACTGGATAACAGATGATCATATCTGGGTGCTTTGAATGCAATATTCCTTCTTCTCGGCAGGGGGTTGGACTGGATGGCCCATGAGGTCTCTTCCAACTCTATGATTCTATATACAAATAGAAATTCAAATTCTGAAGTACTTAATTATTTCTAAAGTTTAGGATCCTCACTGAGTCCCCTAGGGGAGATAGGGCAGGATACAAACAAATAAATCAGATTCATCTGCCCTGAGTCCCCTTCGAGGTTGAGAAGGGCGGTATACAAATATCACAAAAATAAATAAATAAATAAATATTATTGTTATAGCATTATCTCTTTTTCCATCCCTATCTGAGCCAAAGTAAAGCAGAGCATTAAAGTGCTGATCAACAGCTAGGAGCCATTGTTTAATTAAATGTGTGTTCATAAAAAAGAGATATTTCCTATGTATTTTTGGAACATGGGATTCAAGAGGATTCAAGCACCTTAGAAGCTGCTCTTTTGGGGAATGAACCTGATGCAGTGGCAGGTTCTCCATGGGAGACTGTTATGTAAGAGCAAGTATGGGCAAATTCCGGCCCTCCAGGTGTTTTGGACTTCAACTCCCACAATTCAGCTGTTAGGAGTTGTAGGAGTTGAAGTCCCAAACACCTGGAGGGCCAAAGTTTGCCCAGGTCTGTGTAAGAGGATCATCAAAATATTTCTTTGAGCTCTGATTGCTGTATTATCTTTGAAGAATGGGTGGATATTAGCAATGTTTATGAGTTATTTCTCAAAATGCTTATAATTAATTATTTTCTGCCACATTTAATAAACATATTTTCACGGAAGATTCAGAACTGGTTATGGGGCCAGGTGTCCTAGCTATATAGAACAACACAAAGACTGCTCTCAATTTCATTTAATGCAATGGTTCCCAGCCTTTTTTTGACCAGTGACCATTTGACCAGGGACCACTCTGCAACATTAGTACCAAAAGGGTTACAAATCAGTTTTTGGTCAACTTTAGATTTGGTTTGGTTATTTGGGGTGCTGATTCAGAAAAATGCATTAGATAGACCACATCAGCTCTAGTTTCTGATACAGAACATACGCTATCCAGTAGTTGCCATCTGCTCATCCACAGAAAACCATGTTTAATAAACTAGAACTGATGTGTTAGTAGTAATCTTTCATGGGTAGTCAGCCTCTCCCTTCCCGACATCCCTGTTGCCTTGGCACTATAAGAAGGTTTCACAAGACCAGTTGCTCTCGTTGCTGCATGATTTCGAGGCAACAGTGTAGTAACGGTGAGGCACAGATCATATTTTCATTCTCGTGGACCACTGGTGGTCTATGGACCACAGGTTGGGAACCACTGCTTTAATATACATGGCAAGGGGTGAGTATGTGCAGCTGAATTGCGCCAAAATCTAATACATGGTATGACCCCCCTTGTGATGTTACAAAAAGCAGCCTCAATGATGTGAGAAGAGACAGACCCTGATGACACCGTGAAGCATGGTACCCTAAGCACCAACAATGGTTGTGCCAAGTATGTCATATCAACAAATAACAAGCAGGTCTAATAAATGAAGGAAAAATATATAGATTTATGCACCCACTTTTCAAGGCAACATCTCACCCTGCAATTCCTCCCTCTTGCCTTCAGATGGGAAAACAAGGCACAAGCTTTGAAATATGGGAATGCTAATTACAAATGCAAGATAAGAATAAGGTACAGTAGACTCTCGCTTATCCAACATAAACGGGCTGGCAGAACGTTGGATAAGCAAAAATGTTGGATAATATGGAGGGTTTAAGGAAAAGCCCATTAAATGTCAAATTACACTATGATTTTACAAATTAAGAACCAAAACGTCATGTTTTACAACAAATCTACAGAAAAAGCAGTTCAAGGCATGGTAACGTTATGTAGTAATTACTGTATTTACGCATTTAGCATCAAAACATTGCAATTTATTTATTTATTTTATTTACAGTATTTATATTCCGCCCTTCTCACCCCGCAGGGGACTCAGGGCGGATTACAATGTACACATATATGGCAAACATTCAATGCCAACGACACACAACACATATAGACAGACAGTCAGAGGCTATTTAACTTTTTCTGGCCACCAGGGGAACTGTCACTTTCATCGTCCATCTGCGACACTGATGAAGTACTTCCGCATTCCCCGCATGCTTTTGCTGGAGTGCTTTGCTGGAGTCTTTTTTATGGCCTCGTAAATTTTGTTAAATTAGCCTCCACACACATAGGTAGTAACTAATTTTCCTACTTGATAGATACAACTGTCTTTCGGGTTGCAAAGGTCAACAACAAGCTACACAATTGGCCGGAGGCTCACTCCGACCCGGGCTGGCTTCGAAATCATGACCTTGTGGTCAGAAGTGATTGAAACAGCTGTGGATTTGGGTGGGAGGCAAACTGCGTTGGATAATACAGAACATTGGATGAGAGAAGGTTGGATAAGCAAGACTCAACTGTATTCACAAGCTGTAGAGTGGCTATGCTGGACTTAGGGATCAGACCTCTCTTGACTTGTCCTCTGTGGGCCCTTCCAGACAGGCCCAATATTCCAGGATCTGATCCTAGTTTTTCTGCTTCAAACTGGATTTATATGATTCTGCACTATCAGATAATCTGGGATAAACAGAAAACGTGGGATTAGATCCCGGGATATAGGGTCTGCCTGGAAGAGCCCCCAGAGAAGGACAAGTCAAGGGAGGTCTGAGAAGGCAAGGTACATTACAGCCCCCTCCTGCCCTAGATATCATAGCAAATGGTTAGGGATCATGGGATTTGAAAGATAGCATGATCTGGACCACATTATATGCTGCTATATTAGACACGGCAGTATTTTGTGTTTTCTTATAGGCACTGAATACTTGCACTGAATACAGGCCTATTAAATGGTCCTGGTGCTGTTCTGGGAAATCAATATTTCATGAGAATATATAAATAATTCTGTGAGATCTTCTATCTATGTGATTTGCAAATGCACCCCATCTAGTTGGAAATATGGAACAAAGGCACTGATTCACACATTGGCAATACAGCTACTCCAACTTGCCTTTTTATACTGCCCCACCCTTCCACAACGCTGGCTACACCATGTGCCAACCCAATTCCCCCTTTGAAGATGGTTAACGCTTCAGCACAAGACAAGGCGACCCACAACGTCTCAGTCAATAAAAGAGGAGCTTACACAAGCGGGAGTGGAAATGGGCTGTCATGGGCACAGCTGGCCACTAGGTGGCAATGCAGAACCGAAGGGCGCTCGGCGAGGGAGACAGGGCGGGGCGAAGAGGGCTTGGGGGCGTGGCTCCAGGAGAGTCTCTCAGGAACAGCCAATGGGGAAGGAGAACTATTCCAGGCTGGACCAACTCCTGCCGGAATATATGATTAGATGAGTCCGCACAGCCAGATAATCTGGGATAAACAGAAAACCTGGGACCAGCTCCTGGGATATAAGGCCTGTCTGGAAGGACCTGAGAAGGCAAGGCACATTGTAGTCGCCCGGGAGGGACCCCGAGCCTCATCACCCCCACTCAGGGCAACCTTTTCAGGGCTGCATTTGAGAAGCATCTCGGAGGAGTCGAGCCCAAGAGACACTCCATGCGGTGGAAAGTCGACTGGGCACTTTCGCCAACAGTTTTCACCAGAATGGAGCCATTTTTTAAGGTGCAGGGTGTTTCTAAACGAAGGAGCCAATGTCAAGTCACTGTATTTCACGCTACAATCTCACACAAAAAGTTACAAACGGTTTTAATGAGTTGTCGAAGGCTTTCATGGCCAGAATCACTGGGTTGCTGTGAGTTTTCCGGGCTATGTGACCATCTTCCAGAAGCACTCTCTCCTGACGTTTCGTCTGCATCCGTGTCAGGCATCCTCAGAGGTTGTGAGTTCTGTTGGAAACCAGGAAAGTGGGGATTCCTCCAGGCAGGAAGCAGCCAGACTTTGAAACTGCAAGGCCATTCAATGCTCATCAAGGTGGCCAATTGCAACATTCACACCTGCCTCAAGCAGACCAGAGTTCTTTCTCCCACCTTGGACACTATTCCACAGATATATAAACCCCACTTGCCTCGTTTCCAACACTCAAAAACAGGGGAATTCCAGACAATAAACAATCGACGCCAGCTAATCACCTCCCAACAAAGGAGTTCCCCAGGCAGCCAAGCCTTGAAGCTGCAAGGCTATTCAATGCTAATCAAGGTGGCCAATTTCAACATTCACACCTGCCTCTAACAGACAAAGAGTTCTTTCTCCCACCTGGGACATTCCACAGATATATAAACCCCACTAGCCTCGTTTCCAGCACTGAAAAAACGGGAATTCCAGACAATAAACATTTAAGGCCAGCTAATCACCTCCCAAAAAAGGAATCCCCTAGGCAGGAAGCAGCCAAGCTTTGAAGCTGCAAGGCTATTCAATGCTAATCAAGGTGGCAACATTCACACCTGCCTCCAACAGACAAGAGTTCTTTCTTCCACCCTGGACATTCCACAGATATATAAACTCCACTTGCCTAGTTTCCAAAAGACCTCACAACGGGTTGTTGTAGGTTTTCCGGGCTGTAAGGCCATGTTCTAGAAGCATTCTCTCCTGACGTTTCGCCTGCACCTATGACAGGCATCCTCAGAGGTTGTGTGGTCCTCACAAGCTCTGAGGATGCCTGCTATAGATGCAGGCGAAACTTCAGGAGAGGATGCTTCTGGAAGATGGCCATACAGCCTGGAAAACGCACAGCAACATAGTTTTATCAAGTTTCGCTAACCAATTTGAGCCAGAAAAGCATCCAATAAAATATAATCCCTGTATAACAGGCCTAGGCCAACTTGGGTCCTCCAGGTGTTTTGGACTTCAACACCCACCATTCCTAACAGCCTCAGGCCCCTTCCTTTTCCCCCTCAGCCGCTTAAGCTTAAAATGTGTAAAATGCCATGTGCTGATTTCCTGTATGTTATGAAAAAAAATTAATATTAAGCTCTGACTGAAAGCAGTGGAAAACAGCCAGAAATAGCAAGTTTATGTGTATTAAGATATGTAAATGATAATAATTTGTACTTAACGTCAAAATTAACTGATTGATTGAATAAGGTAGATAGGCATGTACACGTCAAAAATATTGGTACCTGATTATATCTGATTTGCCATGGTTTGCTTTTCTGTTATGTACCATAATCAAAATAAACAGTTTTAACAAAAAAAAAAAAGAATGGTGGGAGTTGAAGTCCAAAACACCTGGAGGGCCCAAGTTGGCCCAGGCCTGCTGAATAGTCCAGGGAAGTTTTGACTGGAGGAGTGCTGGTCCCGTTAGTTTCTGGAGGCGCCCTAATGAGGCGAGGGTGAGGGCTTCAGACCCCGCCCTGCTCGCTCCTGGCCGGACTGCCCTCTAAGCAGGAGACTGGCTGGGAAGCCGGATGGGAGGGAGCCCCTCCTGCGCGGAAGTGCCGGGCCGGGCCCTTCTTGTGTTCCCTTCGCTACCTGGGAAGGTAGGCGAGTGCGCCAGGCAAGGGGCAGCGGGGCAAGCTCGCCCTCTCCGCGCTCTTGGGCTCCTTCTCCCCTGCATCCAAAGCCAGTCGGAGCTGGACGGGAGCCTGCCTGCCTGGGCAGCCACCCCCCCCCCCGTCCACCCAAGTTCTGGAGAGCCCTCCCCTCTTTCTTTCTTTCCTTCTTTCCTTCTTTCCCTCCCTGCCTCCCTGCCTCCCTCTCTCTGTCTCTTCCCGAGGGACGGGCGCAAGGAGGGCGCGCGCAGAGGACCCGCGGAAAGGGAGGCTGCGGCTTGAGCGGAATCGAGGGGTCCCGCCACATCGAGGAGCCTTTGGAGGGTCTGGCCGGCCCGACGCCGCGGGGTCAAGGCAGCCGAGGCAGCCGCAAGGGATGCGCGCACTTTCTGGAGCAGCCGAGCCATCGGACTTCCCGCCCCGACTGCAATCTGCGCCTCGCCTCTAAAACCGGATGCGGTGCCCTTTGGTGCCCCCGTCTAGGATGTCTCCTGGCAGGAGGAGAGCAACTTTGGGCGCCCCTCTCGGAGGCGAAGTGGGCCCAGCGCCTTAAGGGGGCCAGAGGAAGGCCGGCGCCTGTGAGCAGTGTGCAGGCCTTTCTGGGCTCTCCCATGGCCTGGGCTGGGGCTGAAGGGGATGGAGCCGCAGCACAATGGATCATCGGCCAACCGGAGTGTGCCCATCGGCCTTCCCTACACGCCCCTGGAGACGGCGCTCATCCTGCTGGCGGTGCTGGCCATGGCCTGTGTGACGCTGATGGGGAACGTGCTGGTGGTACTGGCCGTGTGCACCAGCCGGGCACTCCGGGCTCCTCAGAACCTCTTCTTGGTCTCTCTGGCCGTGGCGGACATCCTGGTAGCCACCCTCATTCTCCCTTTCTCCTTGGCCAATGAGGTCATGGACTACTGGTGCTTTGGCAACCTCTGGTGCCGGCTCTACCTGTCGCTGGACGTGCTCTTCTGCACCTCCTCCATCATGCACCTCTGTGCCATCAGCCTGGATCGGTACTGGGCGGTCACCCGGGCCGCCCGGTACAACCTCAAAAGGAGTCCCCGGAGGATCAAGGCCACCATCGCCTTTGTCTGGGTCATTGCTGCCTTCGTCGCCTTGCCGCCTCTTTTCAAGACATCACCCGAGGACAATGTGTGTTTGCTCAATGACGACACCTGGTATGTGCTGGCTTCCTGTTCGGCCTCCTTCTTTGCCCCCTGCCTCATCATGGTGGCCGTCTACTGCCGGATCTACCAAGTGGCCAAGCGCAGCAACTCTGTGGTCATTGCAGCGAGGCGGGCCTCCCATCCCACCTTCAACTCGGTGGGCAAGTGTGACGCCAGGAGGGTGAGCATCCAGCAGCACTCGGAGGAAGGGCAGACCGAAGTCTCCGAGCTCAGCCAGCTTGCCCACATCCGGCCAAGCGTGCCCCGTCTCTCTTGGCAAAGGAGGATGGTGGAAGAGATGGGCAACAGTGGGGCCAGCCCAGGCAAGACCCCACAGCTCTCTTGGTCTGTGCCCTCCTGCCAACAGAAGCGCAGAAGTCGGGACCTGCCCCTCTCCCCTGGCCAGCAGAGGCGCCGAAGTCGGGACATGTCCTTCTCCACCCACCGGCTGATGCAGGCCCGGGAGCGCAGGTTCACTTTTGTCCTGGCTTTCATCATTGGAGCATTTGTGCTCTGTTGGTTTCCGTTCTTCTTCATGTACAGCCTCGAATCTGTGCTCGGGGAAGACTGCTGCATCTCCAGGACTGTCTTCAAAGTCTTCTTCTGGATCGGTTACTGCAACAGCAGCTTCAACCCTATCATTTACACTATCTTCAACCGGGACTTCCGCAGAGCCTTCCAGCACCTTCTGTCCCGGGCTGATCCACTTCGGCGTCGAAAATGAGAATCTTGGCAGAGATTTAGTGGAGTGTGTAAGTGAGAAAGACAGTAGTGCACAGAGCCTTGCAGGCCTGGGATGATAAAACAGGTAACTGGTCGGCTCTGGCTGATGAACTGATAAAGCAAGAGTTGCACGCCAGTGGCATAAGCGTGCCAAGTGATGCACTTAGGTTATTTGGCCTGCCATTACTGTGCCAAGTGATATGTTAGGTTTATGTGGCCTGGTAGTGGCCTAGAATTCAGTTTACATTTTTGTCTGCCTCACCAAAAAGAAAATGGCCTTGTGGTTGGAGAGATGGGGCACAAAACTTCTCTTTTGATTTGTGGAAGAATTCCCACAAAGTGTAGCCACTCCTGCAAGAAAAGTAAGCATGTTTGTCTCTGCTGTCTCCGCTTTGGGGCTTTAGTTCAGACACAGAGATCCATGTTCTGAAATATGTAGCTCTTCTTAATACAAAACTGTTCTCAATCCTGAAAGCTTCACACCATTTGAGCTGCTGTGTTGTACAGGGGAGAATAGCAGGACTGCGAGTAGAAAGATTAAATGCGGTGACTTATTTCTGTGTTAGGACTGAGGATCTCAACTGCTTCTCCTCCTTCAAAATACCTTATCAAAATAATGGCAGTGAGATTTTATTTGTTTTGTCTACTCAGATGAGAAGTTTCCAAAATTCACAAAGGTCTTCATAAACAGGATAGAAAAGATTGGATATAGGAAGTCCCCGAGTTACAAACAACTCATAGTTAAGAATGGGGGTGAGACAACAGGAAGTCAGAGAAATCTACCACTCAATCGGAAAGGAAATTCACTCCTGAAAGAGTGATCATGGGGAAATGGGAAAAGGTGTTTCCACTGGAGCTTTAGCACCAATCCTTGTTTCCACATTTTATTTATCATGTCAGGAGTGAACCAAAACAGTTGTATTGCATTAAAAACAAACAAACAAACAGAGCACATGAGAGAAGCCTCCCTGCAGGATTGCAAGATATCCGGGTGTCCCCTGGTCAACGTCTTCGTAGACTGCTGATTCTCTCACTCCAAAAGTGACCAGAAGCGACTTGTTTCCACAACAAGCCACATTTTTCAAAATCCAATTGTCACTGGGAGAGAGAGTGATGGTTTTTTTTCCCATGTCAGGAGAGACTTGAGAAACTACGAGTCACTTCTGATGTGAAAAAATTGGCCATCTGCAAGGATTTTGCCCAGGGGACGCCCAGATGTTTGATGTTTTACCATCCTTGTGGGAGGCTTCTCCCATGCCCTCACATGGGAGCTGGAGCTGACAGAGGCAGCTCAACCCACTCTCCCCAGATTTGAACAGTCCTGCTGGCACAAGGGTTTAACCCATTGTGCCACCAGGAGCTCCAGAAAGTGAGGTGAAATCTTTGGAACAGGGGCACAGACAGCAAAACAAACACCCTTTCCTTACATACACATACACATTCAACTTTAGAACAAACCTACAGAACCTATCTTGTTTGTAACTTGGGGACAGCCTGTATTTGAAAAGGAATCGAATGTGAATCCCTCTTTGAAGGTGAGAGAGTCGGTATATAAAACCTCAAAATAAATAATAAATAAATAAATGTGGGCCAGAGCAAAAGGGAAAGATTCACTCAAATGTTTAAGAGAAGCGTGGGCATATGAAGAGTATAAGAAGTGACTTTCAGATGGGAGATCGGGGTAATAACCCACTATCATTAGCTTTAGGTAGTTCACAAACTGGAGATATAGCCATATTCATTTGTTTGACCTCTGTGTCTCACAGATGGAGGCACACTGCCTCCCAACATGGTTTCTGTATCACTTTTGGGCCTAAAATGCTGTATTTGTGGCCTACACCCTCCTCAGAGAGAGCAGAAATACAGGGAGACTTGGCGATGTCATTTATCTCTGCAGGGCACTGGGTGCAGGAGCAGAAAACAAACACATGAACAAGAGACTGGTGTCTCTATGTAACTTTGCAGAATATGTAGAAGAAGCCTGATGGAAAGTTGTTTTTTTCCTTGGGAGCAGATTTCCTTCAGGGACACAGGTAGTTCTGGGAGAAACCTATTCTGTTCACTATTTGTTCACCCTGTCCCTAGTTTCGGGGGCGGAGCTCTGGGCTTTTGGGATGTCTGCCTTGTGTCTCTGCCTAGCCTGTCTGTTTGCAGATCAGAGAAAAGCTCGGCACCGCAAAAGGGAGATCAGACGTTGAATGAGTCAGTCAGCCATCTGGCTTCGGGTCTGGGAAACATTGCCCCAGATCCCAAAGCTGGGCAGATGCCAGCAAAAGACATTGAAAAATGGCTTTCTGTCAGTCACACTGTGTCCAGGGGACTTGTTGACTGTTTTGGGTGAGGCAAGGGCTCTGCCTTGTGATAGGATCCTGGGATGTTTAACTTTAAAGATATGACTTTTTCCTACACTCAGGCCCCGGGATGTTTCCAGCTGGTGATGCTGCTCCAGCTGTATTTGCTCTTCTGGTTTTGGTCACACTGGGCTGACAAATAGGGCACTCCATGATGTTAGGTAGAGATTGCAGGCAGTACCTGCATCCAGCTACTTGGGGCACATTAATACTGTAGAATTAATGCAGTTCGATAGTTCAATGCTATGACATCATTCCAAGACAATGACAAGATGTCATAGCATTGTCCTGGAATTATGCAAGATTTTTTAGCTTTCTCTGCCAAGGAGTGCAAATCTTAACAAACTACAAACCCCAGGATTCCATAGTATGAGGCCATGGCTGTTAAAGTGCTGTGAAACTATATTAATTGTACAGCACAGATGCAGCCTTGGAGATGCCTGGCTTTTTCTGTTACTCAAGGTTTTTTTGTAGCAGTATGTTAGTTGGGGCTGAATCCGTAGCACAGGTGTCTGTTCTTTCTAATGTGTGCTTCCCAAATCTCAGGACCAAGAACCTGTTTCTTATTTCTCCCCTCCCCTACATTGCATATTTCCACACACAACCTTCCTAAATACTGCAAGAGGTGGAGTGGACTCAGGTACAAGTTTCAACTACTCCATTCCTGAATTTGTATTTAGATAACCCGTCCCATTTCCCTGTCTTTTAATCACTGTGTGTCAGGCACACATTCAACAGAGGCAGCTTTTTCTTCACATAGCAAACGGGTGGAGAGCTGTTGCTATTTAATTTCTGTTCATTCTGTACCCATTAAAGATATGGTGCCTGTTTAAGAAGGAAACAAAATGTGACAGCTGTAATGCTAAATGCTGATCGACTGATTGTGCTTTGTGGTCACAAGCTGCCTCTTTTATTTGATCCCCCCCTTAGCTGGATGCCAACAACTCTTGCTAAGTAGGATAAGAATAAGACATGGAAATATTATGCTTGTAATTTACTTTTCTGTAAAGCTGCTTCCTGTTTGTTTTGTTGTAGGAGTGATCTTGTGGTGGGGTTAATGCAATGGGAAAGTTTGGCCACATGTTGGAAGGACAAATACCATTTTTCTGCAATACATCTATCCCAAGCCCACCAATAGAGAGGATGACTGAATTTTACATACGTCCAAGTACTTCCAGCATCACCAATTTTGTGCTTATAGAGATGAACAAAAACTTCAGTATGGCAGACATTTTAAATAACTCACACAAATGCACTCAGAAGTTTACTTTTCCAGAAAAGGAAGAACTTCAGTGGAGATGTAAACATTGCATAGATTTGCATGGAGAAAGGATATTTAATCATTAATTTAATGTATATACTCATGTATAAGTCTAGAAGAAAAATTGACACAAAAAGCCAAGGTTGAATTATTTATGGGACTTTGCAAGTACTGTAGCTTGATTCTTAATACAAAATGAAACTTTCTCTGTATAGAGTGCTGAAAGGTGACAGCTTACTCCATCCTGGGAGAACCTAAAAGAAGCACCAATCTGCCTGCTCTCTCTGCCATGGTGCTGCTTCTGGCCTTTTTAAATGCTCGGCTGCCTGCTTGAGGTGCCACTGGCACATTCCCCTCGGGATGAAATGACCCACAAGTTGCCCACAGGTCATTTCAAAATGCATAATTTTAGCCCCCAAACCTGTCCTCAACTTATACATGAGTATATACAGTAACTCAGTGGCACCTGTACTTGGCTTTTGTCAGGTCAACACTCCTCTTTTCCAGATGAAGACTCTTGTTGGGTTCAGCTTCTGACTGCCCACTTGGGTAGATGCAAGAAATAGACTACAAACAGAATGCACATCTCTTTAAACATCCAATGTTCCTGCCACTACAGCTAAGCTTCCCCAATACCTGACATGTTTCAAACGTCTTCCAGATTACAAGACAAAATATTCTTCCTGGTGGTTCTTGTCAGCTGAAAGTTGACTGGAAATCTCTACCCACTTCTCACATTTAATTCCTCCCTCATTTGTTAAAAATGCCAGTGGCCTTTCTTTCTTTGTAAATGTGTTGGGTGTGACATGCACCGAGTGTCAAAAAACATGGCCACACTTTGTTGCAACTTCTGTTTCCCCCAATCAACCCATTCTGGATTCTACAGGTTTAAACATTTCCAGAGATGTTGTGAACTTTCAGTTGGTCTTAATAAAGCTGTTGCCCAACTGTGAATTTTCAGTTTTTCTATCCAGCACACACATATACCATACTTCGTTTTTTATCCGCATGCCTGATGATACACGGATGTCTCCATAGTCATATACCATGGAATATACAAAGAAGCCAAGTGCAATTCCCGACACTGAACAGGGATCAGAAAAACAGAGAGACAGTTGTGAGTCTGGCACCGAGGCAGCCTCTGCTGACGCCCACTGGAAGTGACAGAACACGTGATGGGATCACCAGAGAGAGAAACAACTATTTTTTTAACCAAACCTATTTCCTTGCATTGTGGGACCATGGGCCCTTGGCTGAGAGGGGTGTAGGGAGAGTTAGAGGTGGCCACTACCCCATTTGCCTAAGCAAGAGAAACATTGCACCCAGATACTTGTTGTATCTGGAAGGTCCAGCAGCCAAGCTGATTCCAGATAGCACCAAATCACAGGTTTTAATCATGTTCTGCCTCATGTACGGGGGAAGAATTGTTGGAGGCTACAAACAATGTGGTCGCTGTTGCCCGTTTTTGGTCAAAAGATATTTAGCCACTTGTGCTCCTTCTATTTTTATCAGTTTTATATGAATTTATGCAATGTTTTTGATACAAAATAAATAAATCAGGGACATAAAATCCCTGGACTTCAGAAGAGGTCCACACACAGGACTGTTGGTCTCGAGATTTCTGCCTCCATCATCCACACTTGCTGCTTCATTACAGTATATAGAGGCTCCTAAGATGACAACTGCAGAACTTCTGGTGGAAATTTCAATGGTTTTTAACTTAAGATACGAACATGCAAAGATGCGAAAAATTGTATG